GCACCTGCTCTTGTGCCACCTCCCAGAGCTCTATCTGAATGTGTTCCAACACAGAGAACCTCTGGGCAGGCCGAGTCTCAGCCTGTGTTCTCATTTTGGATTGAGACCAGGAGAAGCCTGGAAGGGAGGGGAGAAGCCTCCCCCTCCAGCTTTAGCCCAGCTCCAGCGAGCTCGGGCCACCAGCCCCACCCTAGGCTAGCCTGGCTCTCTACCTCAGGTGGCGTTATCCTCAGGCAGTGGCTTGAACTGCTCCCTTGGCTGGGAGCCTGGCAGAAACCTCGCTCCTTGTTCCTCTCAGTGCTGTCAGTCTTGGTGATCAGGACAGGCAGCAGTAAAGACTGGGGAATGCCAGCTACTGAAGGCAGGGTAATGTCCAAGAGAAGAGAAGTGTGAAATGCTCAGCATGGCTGGCTCCAGGGAAGGTGGAGCACGCAGCCAAGTCCCCAGAGGAAAGGACTGTTCACACAACTCTGTGAAACAAGATGGAAAATGAAGGGCTGACAAGGAAAACCTTGTCATGGAGCTTCTCTGATTATCCTGGGAAGGGGAAGCCAAGGGACAGGAGCCATTGAGCAGCTTCCTCAGAAGTTATCCCACAGGGTCCACCTGGGAGCCTGTGCTTGGAGGTCACCTGAGCTCAGAGGTGATAAGAGGTACCTCCTATCACCCAGCTCCCTCAGCTGAGACCTGCACCCCCTGCTTGTGCCAGGTGCTGTACTGAGGGAGGGAGCTCCTGGTCCAGGGATCCTGGGCCAGTGACCAGCCTGTGACATGCCATGTGAGCCCAGGCTGCCACAACCCTCTGAGCAGCCTGTTATGGGAGGGAGGAGAGGGAGAGCCCAAGGCCTGGACTGCTGCTAAAACCATGTTTTCAAAGAATATTTAATAACAGAAAAATTTAAAGCTGTCACAAATTAAACAAATTATATCAACAAGCAGTAAATAAGTAAGTTATTAATGTCCTATGTGTTGTATGTATATGTGTTGGGAAGGGACTGGGAGGAATCCTTAACCCTGGGAACCCTGGTGGCCCATGTAGTGGGACTATAAGGGTTTTAAATTTTTCTTCCTCCCTCCCTCCCTCCCTCCCTCCCATCCTTCCTTCCTTCTTCCGTTTTTGAGACAGGGTCTCACTATGTAGCCCAGGCTGTCTTCAAACTTGCCTGCCTCAGCCTCCTAAAGTGCTGGAATTACAGGTGTATACCATCACACTCAGTTCTGATTTTTAATTTTCAAAAATTTCCCCAGCAAATATGCAATGCCTTCTTAAGTGAAGGAAAAAAAAATGTAAGGGCCCCATACTTGCTCAGGCCTTCCCAGGAAGAAGAGAAACATTTGGCAGAAAGTTCCCCATACCTTCTCACGAGGGCCTTCACACAGCAGGGTCAACCTGAGCGCCTTGCCTGCTTCCTCAGCAGAGGCCCTAGTGCCATCCCTGTAGCTCAGTGGCTTCCACAGATAGGAAGAAGTAGGCAAGGCTTCAGGGCCACACCTCATCCCAAGAGAAGAGGTTTTTGGGTTTGTTTTTGTTTTTTTTTTTTTTTTTGTGGTGCTGGGGTTTGAACTTGGGGCTTTGTACTTGCAAGGTGGAGCTCTACCGCCTAAGTCACACCTCCACCCTAGAGAGGATTTTTTAGGAAAAGCCCACCCTTGAGGTCAGTGCAACAGCCTCTGGGCACACATTCTGAGAGGAGTGGGTGTTAACAGGAAGGCTGGCCAGGGAGGGCCAGCCACAAGTCCATTTAAAATGAGAAGCTATTTATTCCACATGGCTGCAGGGAGGAAGACGCTGAGTGTTCTGTGGGCACATCTGAACCTCTGCAGGTCTTGCAAGGGCAGGGCCAGGGCAGTGTCCCTTCTATAGGTCAAAGGACAGGCGTGGGTGACTGGTGAGAGGGCTGGAGTCACAAAGGCAGGCATTGATGCCTGGCTCCACTCAGCTCCAAAACCTACCCTCTCCCACCCCTCTTCCTATGAAACTGTAGGGAATTTTTCTGAGGCACATTTCCCACTTCCCAAATACAGACACAAAACAGGATGCTGTATGTTCAGCTGGCATCTGTGCCCCTGTCCATGGAGGTCTGCCCCACACAAGTGGCCCCAGCTCAGCCTGCCTTTGTGTCCTCCCCACAGGTTTCAGGGAGGCTGTGTTGACTGGCCTTGTTTTTGTGTCTAGTGTGCAGTCTGACTGTAGCCTGCACGGTCAGAAAACCAGATGGCCTTGGTGATAATGCTGCCATCTCATATTGTCAGGTGTGGATTGCTGTGTCCACGATCAATCACCTCTCTTCTCTGAGGCCTTCCTAATCGGAGTCACTTGGTGGTTGCCTGGATGACTGATGTGGTAGATGTGTGACCATCAAGAGGCAGTGACTGAGGGCTGGTAGAGTGGCTTAAGTGGCAGAGCGCCTGCCTAGCAAGAGTGAGTCCTGAGTTCAAACCTCAGTACTGCCAAAAAAAAAAAAAATCCAGGGTAACTTTCTTTAGCCGGGCGCCCATGGCTCACACCTGTAATCCTAGCTACTCAGGAGGCAGCAATCAGGAGGATCATGGTTTGAAGCCAGTCTGGGCAAATAATGAACTCCATCTTGAACAAGCCCATCGCAAAGAAAGGGCTGGCGGAGTGGCTCAAGGTGTAGGCCTTGAGTACAAACCCCAGTACCACAAAAAAAAAAAAAAGAGGCTGTGACTGTCACATATTTGCTTTGCATAAGAGAAGACAGACACACCACAACCTTTGTGTCCCAGCTCTACACACCCAGTGGCGAGGTAGAGGCTGCATCTTCCAAACATTCATTTCACACACGTTCCTGATGCCAGGTTATGACTGGTCAATGAAGATACCAAACATTGACATTTGTCAGACAGTTCTCAAGTCTCCCTGCCCTGATCTTGGGAGGAGACAACTATTGGATAAGGTCTCAAGTCCCATGGCTGGCTCTTAGCCTCTTGAAGAGGCGATAGACATGGTGGCAGACAGATTCTTAGTTTGGAAGGACCTTTGGAATGAGAGTCCAGAGATGTGGAATGTTCTTCCAAAGGCCCCAAAATAAAGGCTTAGTCCCCAATTTGGCACCATTGAGAGGCGGGTGAAAACCTTAAGAGATGGGGCCTAGTGGGAAATCACCTGGGGAATTGGGAATGTGCCCTTGAAGGAGAATGTAGGACCAGAGCCCCTGCTTTTTCTCTCTTTAGCTTCCTGGCTACCATGAAATGAGTAGCTGTGCTCCATTTTGTACTGTACCACACTCCCCACAGTGGGGCCAAACAATCACTTGACTATAAACCCTCTGAAACCATGAACCAAAATGATCCATTCCTCTTAGTAAATTATCTCGGGCGTTTTGTCACAGTAACAGAAAGCTCACTAAGTCCTATGTCTTTGTTATGGATGGGAAACTGAAGCATGATGAGAAAGGGGATTTGTTCAGATAGTGAGTCAGTCAGTCTCCCGACATTCAGTGCCTCCACCAATCTGCCAGACCTTTGTCTGAAACCCTAGGCTCATGGGAAACCCAACACTTTATTGTGTACATGAGAGGATCCCTTCCTCTGCACAAGGGAGGCCCTCCCAAGCCCAGGTAGAGGGGCTGCTGTCCTGCAGCATGGCCCTGGCCTCACCCCTGCTGCCAGATCTGCCTCCTGAAGGCCCAGCAGGTGTGCAGAGGAGCACATCCCTAGGCCCCACCTTACTGTTGTGCCTGTGGATGGGACGGGCCCAGGATCTGCTCTTAATGACACAGTTTGGGTAGCTGGACTCTGTCTGTTCCCGCAGGTAAATTACAGGCTTAGTGAGTCCAAAATCAAATAAACACTGCAACTCCCAGCAGCTGCTCCAAGAAGAACAGCCATTTCCGGGAACAGTGGAGGCTGAGACAAACCTCTCCACCCAACTTAGTCTAATTACTACCTGTCACTCCCCTGGGACAGGGGCCCTTCTTTGACTCACATGCCCCAGAAACAGGACTGCTGGGCCCCAAAGTGATACTGACTTTGGCAACCAGTCTGTTCATAGCTCCCAGCCATAAGCAAACTCTGACAGTCCTCACCCTTGCCCCATGCCTTCCCAGAGGGTGTGGGAGTACAGGAGAGAAGCCAACTTCATTTCACTGAGTGGCTGGTGGTGGCAGTCTGCAGGCCTGCTGAGGATGTGGAGGGCTTATTCGGATGCAGAGGGAGACGTAGTTAAGTGGATCATTGATGGAGTCATGGGCAAGGAGAGGCAATGTGGCACCTGCTATGTTGCCAGCCTGGACCACCCACTGCTTCTGCTAGGCGTTACCTTGGTCTCAGTGCTCAGCACCAAATTGGTCAATATGGAAGAGATGGAGGAGGGAAATGGACGTCTCCAAGGTTCTTTGCTTTTCTGAGGAGCATACCTCTTCCCCACACAAGAGAAGGGCAGGCCCAAGGCAAGGAAAGACACATAACATGAAATGTCCCTACTGGTTTCACCTGCAATCATGAAGCCCAGCCAGCTGGTTCGTTGGGTCAAGTTAGAAGAATACAATAGCACAGTGTACTGAAGACTTGTGTGTGTTTAATTATGCCCCAGAAATGCCCAAGCAATGCATCTGGGAAGGGGAAGAGCCCTCTGGCCCAAACTCAAACCCCATGGGGAATAGTCTAGGGCCAGGGGTGCCTCAGGCTCTCCAGGGACAGCCACAGACACATCCTAATAGAGGACTTCAGTCCTCTATGATTATTACTATTGCATGTTATTAGTACAGCACGGTCAGTACAGCTCTGAAGTACCATGTGCATTTGGCCTTGGGTAGGGCTAGGGGAGGATAGTTTGCCACTAACCCCAGGGTGGGGGGCAGGGGGACCTGAAAAGGAGTAGAAACTTAGTAGGAAAGGAACAGGGGAAGTGAGGGCCCCTCACTACCTCTGCCTGAGCTATGACAGCTTCTTAGGGTTTCCTGCCTCTGGAGAGCGGGCTGACCCCGATGGGGAGCGGCGGCTGCAGCAGGGCAGGTCCGCAGGGCCTTGGTGTGGCCTCAGTGGCAGCCGCAGGCCTTGACCACCATGTTGCGGTGCTTGCGCAGGATGACGTTGTTGCTGCTGTCATAGTAAACCCCCTGCCCACTCCCTGCATCACCCACTCCGGCCCAGACGTGGACAAACTTGCTGGCCAGTAGCACCACCTCCCCTGGGGCCTCCCTTCCCTACTCTTCTCTGTGCTTCTACTATGTCCCATCAGGTCTCAGCAGCAGCCTTGCAGACTGTCAGCCAAGGAATGCACACGGAATCAAAGGGTTCCCCTCTCCCAGCCTCTGGCCTCTGGAGAGGCCTGGCATAACAAAAGCAGAGCCAGCTGGCACAGGACACATGGGAGGTTGGATGGGTAGGCAGGGTGGCTAGTGAGAGGCCCTGGCATCCTAGGCCAAGGGCTAAGAGCTGTTCTGATAACAGGAAGGACCCAGAATCTCTGGTCAAGAATACACAGGCCAGTTTCCATATTAGGAAGATCCCACAGGTTGCTGTGTGGACAGAGGCTATAAGGGGTGCTCCTGGAGGGACAGCTCTTGGCCCTCAGGACCCCAAGGCTCTCCTCATGAATCCCAGACTCTCCTCATGAATCCCAGACTCTCCTTGGGCCACTGTGGCTCCTCTTCCTGCCCAGGTAGCCCTGTCTCCTCTCCTTCCTCCTCTCCCTCATCCTCCTCCTCTTCCTCTTTGGCCACTTCTCCTGCAGGGTTGCTGCTCCTCTCCAGGGGTCTCGTCTGGAGTCAGGACAGAGATGTCCACGTGCATGGCTCTCACACTCCAACATTGCCTTGGACCTCTGCTCAGCACCACCGTGCAGATCCACCTGTGCACCTGGCCTACCATGTGGGGTCTGGTAGGGCCTCAGCATGGCTACTGATGTCCTCTGACCCTGACAGCAATTCTGCCTCCATGCCAAACGTCTAGTCTTCATCCTCACCTCACCTCAGTGGGTGGTGCCCTCATCTGCGTGGGGCTCAGGCCCTACCTGGGGCCTCCTTGGCTCTCCTCTTCCTTCTACCTGCTCCCCGAGTGTGGAGGATGCTCAGCACCCACTGTCTACGCAGACCACTTCCCAACCCCCACCAACCTGCCCTGACTCCTGTTGGGGCCACAGTCAACCTCACTGACCTCCTTGCCTCCTCCACTCTCCACCCCTGAGGTCCATCCTGCCATGGCTGCCACAGTTCTGGAGAGGAACTCTCCAGTTATGACAGCGTTTTGCTAAATCCCCAACAGCTGCTCAGTATGCTAGGACTAAAGTCTGTTGTCCTTACAGGGATCCCAGGCCATAGAGGAACCCGCCATGCCCACCCCAATCCCATGCCCCTACTTCTTGCCCTTCTCCCTGCTGGCCCCTCCCATCTTAGGGCATTTGCACTTGCTCCTTGTCCTGGACAATTTTCTCCACTCTCTGCTCCTGGTGCAGACAGGCCCAGCCCTGGCTGCCTCTTCATCTTAGAATGACATCACGCTGGGCTTGCCTGTGTGCTCACCATGTCCTCCCAAGAAGACAGTGACTGTCCTGTCTTGTTTGCTGCCTGGTAGTGTAGCAGCGAGGAGGATCAGAAGAAAACAGTCTAGGCCTGAGTCCTGAGAAAGTAGCAGGGAGGTAGGGATGGCATAGCAGAGAGATAAAACCTGAGAAATCTGAACATGAGGACGGTCACATAGCACCAGGGAGGGGAAAGTCACATAGCAGGAGGGTACAGTAGCCAATAAAATTAAATAAAACCATACATGGATTAGACCTTGCTTTTTGCTTCTGTAATCTGCTTGCAAGGGTATGTAAGGTGAGACTCCTTTGTTCTCAGGGCTCAGCCTTTGGACATGAGTCTGCTGAGTCTGTGCTGACACAATAAAACGTTGCTTCCGGCTAATTGCCTCAAGAGTCCCGTATCTCAGCTAGCAACCTCCTGCAACAGTAGATGGTGAACATTTACTTTTTTGAGCCCCATGGCCCTGGAAAGCCAGTGGCTAGAGGTCATGGCTAAGACATGGTGGGGAGGGAATGAGTCCTGAAAGGGGCAGCACACCCATCACACCAGGGGCCTCCCTTGCCTGGGGCACAAGGGCTGGGTGCCTCGGCAGCCCACACATCCTATCACCACCCTCAGTTGCTTCTTTCAAGACAGCATCTTCTGGGCATCCATCCAGTGACGCACTGCCCGTTGTGAAAGGAAGTGTTAGTTAGCATGGCTCAAAGGGGCTCCTGTTAGTTCCTTACTCTCTTCCAAGGAAGCACTTGGAACAAAGACCTGCTAGAAAAACATAAGGTGTAGGATACTGGGCTCTAGGATTCCAGGCAAAAAGTTCAACACCAGAACCAAAGCACAAAACTTGGCAATAAGGCACCGTGATCCCACTGGAAACTTCTCCATGGTCAGAGTGGCTAACTGAGGCTTCACCAACGCAGCGAGCTGGGAAATCACTGCCAGGAAAGAAGCCAGGGTACGCCCCAGGTAGAAGCCAGGTGCAGGGCACACTGGGGAGTATCTGGCCAGGCGAGGGTGGTGAGTAGGCAGATGCCACATGTGCACTGTGTGTCTGTGTTTCAGGGAGGCCACCTACCAGTGTACCCAGTGGACCAATGCATGGAGATCACACAGGCATGTTCATCTGTGTCATGTGCACCTGACTCAGACCACAGAGCTGTGCCTGTGTCCATCAGGACCCACCCCACAGGTCACTGAGCCCTACACAAGAAGCATAGTGTCCAGAACCTGTGTGGACACAACTGTCTAGCATTAAGTCTGCTGGGCACACATGCAGCTGAAGGAGGAAGCAGCTTTTCAGAGTGGGGCTGTGGCTACCTGGCTGAGTCCCTGCAGAGAAAGCACCTCTGGGCAGCAACTCTCTCCCTTCCGGCAGAGAATTTCTTTCCTCAGCCCCCCCCACCCCAGGGGTCCAGCGGCTGCAGTACTGACCAGGGACTGCAGGATGGCATGGTTGGTGGCATTCATGCATGAGTCCAGCGGGAAGGAGCACTCTCCATCACAGTAATAGGCCGAGTAGCCCTGAGGGGCGATGACCCAGTCCTAGGGGAAGGGAGAAGGTGAGTTCAAGCCATGTGGCCTCTCCAGGGCTCTTCAGCCCAGTCCTGACAAAGGAGGCCTGGGGCTGCCCCTCAACCTCCCTGAGCCTCAGTGCCCAGTACCCCACCCTCAGTTCCTCTTGGGTAGCCCACATCCCAGAAGCCTGAATCTGGTCAGTGACCCTCAGTAGATGGGGTTGGGTGCAAGTTCTGTCCCTGACACACCCCATCCTCTGCTGTTTTCCCTGAGCCTGCCACCTTACATCCCCTGGGGCTGCAGTTATAGCAAATGGTGGAGGCCCTGTCCACGAAGCCTCAGTTTCCCTGCAGTAACAATGACAGTTCAGTTGGCTGAGGGCTCAGGTAGTCTCCGTGTTCATGGTTTTTATATTAAAACCACTTTTACACCATGAAAGCAGCGTGTTCTCACTTTAGAGAACTTGAAAAACTCAGAAGGAAAAACTACAGAACAAAATGAAAGCTGCCTGCATTTCCACCCTCCCAGGATATGCCATGGCCTGGGTGGGGACAGTGAGTTTGGGAGAAGGAAAGGAAGGAAGTACCAGCCATCCGAGGTCCTGGAAGCTGACGTAGAGCTCATGCCGACGGCATAGCTGCCGACCACGGGAGCCGTGGCTGTCATCTGCAGGGACAGACAGTGCCAGGTCAATTCTGGGGCTCCTGCTCTGAGCAGTTACCATGGCGGGGCAGAGGGGCACATTTATCAAATAAAGGAGCAACAGGAAACTAAACCATTGGGTTTCACAAATCCTATTCTGGATCCCTGCTCAGGTCTTGACCCAGCTCAACAACCTTCAATGGCTCCAATCGCCTTGTCTTGCAGGCCATGGAACTTCAGAACCCAGAACACAGCCCAGCAGGAAGCTCGGCCATCTATCCCATGCTTCCACTTTCCTCTGAACACTGCTCCTGACTCCAGCCCACCTCCCTGCCAGGCCCACTCCACAGGCTCAAGGGCTTAGGGATCCTCCCTGGGAAGTAGGCTGCAGCCCAAGCCCAGGCCCAGGCCCTGCACTCACCAAAAATCCCTGGGAGTTTGTTGGGGTGTGGCAGCTCATTGGGCTTTTTTAGCTGCCTCCTCTTCGGGGGCCTCACTGCACGTGGGACACGGGTAGGACTTGGACTGGCTCTGAAGAAGGTGACCATGAAAGGCTGTCCGGAGCATGGTGCCTGTCGCCCCAGCAGACCGGCCAGGCCAGGATCCAGCTGTGCCCTGAGACAGAGAGGACAGAGTTACTTACTGATGGTGGCCCTGCTGGGGACACAGCAGGGGCCTCTCTGCTCCTCAGCAGGAGCTAGAGGCTGGGGACCTGAGAGGACCCTCTGAACCTTGGTTTCCTCATCTGGAGCAGGGAGTCCCAAGTCCAGCTCCAGCTCCCTGACTGCTGTCTGAGGTGGGGGAGGGGAGTGGTTGTTAGAGGGCCTCAGGGAACCCCAGGCATCACTGCCAGTGACCTGGAGGTCATGGATATCTGTGCACCATTTGACAGGTTTTTCCCCACTAGTTACCTCAGCACTCCTTACAGTAGTCCATATTTCATACTTCACAGAAAACCCATCAGGGTCACCCAGCGATGATCACAGTCCATTGCTAGTGTTACTAGGAACCAGGGCTCCCTCTGCAGCCAGAGGACCCAAGGCCTGGGTGGGCCCTGTCCTCTGCCCGCACTGTCTGGGGACGTGAATGTGTGATTTATGAACCAGCAGCTCATGGTAGCCTTGGCTAGGACTTGGCCAGGACTTGTTCTGCCAGCAATGCCCTGCTGGGCCTTCCCCAGGTGGGGACATCACTGGGAAGACATCAGAACAAAGTCACAGAGCCCGGAGTTGGCCTGAGTCAACTCATTCCAGGGCCAAGGTCACTAGACCGGGCTGGTGGTTAGAAAGAAAGAAGGAAAAGGATGCAGGGAAACATGATCTGGGCCTCAGTCCCAGGAAGAGGAAGACCATGAAACGGACTTTACAGATTGGGGATGCCATTAAAAACAGAGTCAGCCTCAATATGCAGGCCTCCACCAAAACCAGCCTGCCTGCTGCTTTGTCCTGCAATCGGCCTCTTGTCTTTTTCAATGATAAAAGCAGTGTAATAAATAACCACAGTGAAGAAACTCGTGAAGGACCAAAGTGGTGCCACAGGCCTGTAATTCCAGCTACATGGAAAGTAGAGATTGGAGGATGGTGGTTTTAGGCCAGCCTTGGCAAAAAGTTAGGGAGACTCTCATCTCAACCAATAAGTCAGATGTGGTGGTACACCTCTATAATACCAGTTACACAAAAGCAAAGTTAGAAGGATTTCAGTCCAAGTCTGGCCCTGGGCAAAAATTCAAGATCCTCTCTGCAGAAAAGAGCACCTGCCTAGCAAGCAGAAGGACTTGAGTTTAATCCTCAGTGCCACAAAACAAACAAACAAACACAACAACAAACCATTGAGAAAAATACCATCCATAAAATCTGTCCCAGCACAGATGCTCATTTCACATTTCTGGGCTTATTCCATTGTGCTGATTTAAGTTTTACACAGTCGTCAGCACAGCAAAGAAGTCTGTATTTTTAAAAACTTTCTAACATAAATGTTTTCCCTATTAAGCTTAGATCCCACAGAAGGGAACCAGCAGGGTGGGGGAGAGGCTGATGGGGTGAATATGCTCTAAGTACATCATATGCATGTATGAAAATAGCATAATGAACCCACTAAAAGCTGTTAAAAAGAAGGGGGTTAAGAAAGAGGAATATAATTTGATGAATTTAAATATACATTACAGGCATGTATGTAAATATCACAATAAAGCTCTTTGTACAATTGATTCATGCTAATTAAAATTTTTTTAAACTAGTCCTGACAGGAAACATTTCAAATTCCTAAAATCCCTTCGAGCAGATATTCTGGACTTAATCATTAGCTCATCGTTAGGAGTCAGGTTATTTCCTGGTTCTGTTATAGAGATGAGGATGCAGAACCTCCTCACTCTGAAATTCCTCATACCGAAGCACAGAAGCTCGGTGCTGTTCATTTTTGTGTCTCACTAGACACAAAAATGAACAGTTAACAGAAGTCCATGTTGTAAGCACCAATGCACAGGCACACATTGCTCTATTCACAGACAGACACATGCACGTTCATGTGTGCATTCTGCACTCAGGTCTGTTTATTCCACACGTATCCTACCAGCTTCTCCACTGCACAGCACAAGTCAAGGCCACTGCCTGCTCCACCTACAGTCCATGCAAAGGTCAGCCCTTCAGCAGCTGGGGCCTCAGACCAGGTGTCCACTGGCTATTTGATGGAATGACCCATCCACCTGGAGACCACACTTTGATGTATACATCATCTGCACCAACAAATGTGCTGGGCCCTTGAGGTTGAAATCCATGGGGACAGGGATACAAATTTCAGGGCTGGCATTGGGAGGAGGCCCAGGGAGAGCCATATGAAAGTACAGAACATGGCGGGTAGAAGCCATGGGGAATCATTCACTGGGAGGACACTGAACCATAGTGCAGAGAAAAAGGCAATAGAGATTCCAGAGCAGAGAATGGATTGAGCAGGATTGGCATAGGGAATGGAACATGGTGTTGGGGTGATGGTCACAGTGCCTGGCACAAGAGTGGGCTCCATAGACTTGGGTGACACATCGGGTGGCGTCAGACCCAGGGCAGACTCCAGGCCTGTGTGTGCCACTGCTCCCTTCTGCGGAGTCCTGGGCTCTGGCAGACATGAGGCTACCGAGGCAGTCAGCACCCCAGGGTTGGTCCTCCTTTGCTTTTCTTTTGCACAACTGTGTTCAAGGGTCTTCCAGGGTCTTCTGGGCATAGAATGGATAGCATATTAGAGCAGTTACACATAAGATCCTTGCAGAGCTTCTTGGAGTTAGCTTGGATGGGTGTTGGGGACCTCTGGGTCTCTCACAGCCAGGTGAGCCTGGACCAAGGGCTGTTGGGTGCAGCTAATCCAAGGTTCCCATTTTTCAGAAGCACCAACTAAGGCCTACAGAGAGCAGCAATTGTTCAAGGGCCTAAAGCAAGCAGCTACAGAGACAGGACATTCATACCCTGCCTAGCAGACAGCAGAGGTCTTGTGAGGGTAGGGACAGGAGGACAAGGGGTGCTCCTTCTGAGTTCTGCATCCAGCAGGCCTGCAAGAAACTGTCACCCTTGCCGAACCCCAGAGTTCTTCCAAAAGCTTTTCTTTTTGACCCCCATCCTTGGGCAGACCCTTGCTCCAGCTGGCTGTAGGGGAGGCCCAGACAGGCCTGGTGGTGGCTCCCAGGTTGCCCAGCTCTGGGCAGACTCCATCTCAGAAAGGCAAAGGTGAGGGCTTCAGAGGCCTCTGAGGCCTAGGATCCCTGCCTCTGACTTGACCTTGTGAGGAATCTGGCATATCTTTTACAGTTGTTGGTTATGTGCTGGCCTGCCCCAAGATTTGGGGAGCCCTGTGGCCTTCTCCTGGATGGAAGATGGTACCCCTCTGGACTCAGGAAGCCCTATAAGGCCCTAGCCTCACCTCATGTCTGGAGCTTAACAATTCTTCCTAATTGCAGGGGTCAAGCCTTTATTCATGTCCACTCCTCAGCCATGCCAGGCCAAATATGCCCCATCTCTTCCCAAGGTGTCTTGCTCTGGGGCCAGATGGCCATTCCTGCGCCCATGCCCCACCTCAGCCTACAGGTGGAAGTGACCACTAGATCATGTGTCTCCCTCATTCTTACTCTCCTGATTGACCTCCCATCTGTCTGCTCCTGGAACCCTCTGCCTCTCCATGCCACTGCTGGAGACTTCTCCCAACTTCCAGGACAGAACAGGTGCCCCAGAAGGCCCAGAAAGTGCCTGGTCATTCACCCAGTGGCATCCCATCACCCCCATCTGCTGGGGTCCCTGCCCTCCCCACATTCTATCTGATCCCCTCCCCATCTCTCCATTCTGGGATCTGATCCTTCCTTGAAGTGAGGATCAAATAGGGCCCTCAGAAAGGCCAGTGGGTAGCTTCTAGAATAGACTCTCTGACTAGCGTTCCTGTGGCTGTAAGGGTCCTGGAGCTGCATCCACAAAGAGAACCTTGTACACCAGGCCGTCACAGCATGCACACACAACACACACACATTCTCTCTCTGACACACACACACACACACACACACACACACACACACAGCTATCTACAGATTGTTTGACTTTAGGTGTGAGACTATAGATTCACATTCCAGAGATGCTGTTCAGTGAGGAGGGAAAATTTCACACAGGCCTGTTGAGCCTCCAGAACACAAGGGAGGACGGACATTATGTAATGTGGCTGACATGGGATACTGCAGCCTAAGTAGAGAGACCTGGTCCAGGCCATCAGCTAGGTTTCTAGGCCTTTGTGACACACATGGGGACTGGTTATGTACAGAGGAGCCATCTAGGTAGAATGCCAGCACCACCCATCCCCCCCCCCGCCCTCCCCAGTTACCAGGTCCCTTCCCATGAAGATGTTCCTGCCTTCCTTTTAAGAACACCTATGCAGCTCCCAGGAGAAGGGATGAGCGAGGAGGAGGGCAGGCCACAGGGAAATACAATCAGGATAAAATGCAGGTCCGGGAAGAGGGGTCAGAGGGGCTAAAGGACAACAGCTTCCATGAGCACAGCCTTATGCAAACTTAGGTTTGTGTAGTTTTCATGGCAACCGTAAATGGAACCATAGGTGAACTCTGGGTGCGGTTCTTTTCTCTGTCATCATTTCCCCACATGTCGAGATTCAATTGTGAGGAGAGGCACTGGAGTGAAATCCTGCTGGGGACCCTCTGGAGCTACAGGTGATTTACTGTAACACCACAGAGGGTGGCTGAGGGAGGGACATCTAGTGGCCTCAGTGAGTTTGGCAGAGGTCTCTGTGGTACTCACAGGACACATGGGTTCAGGTTAGACTTTTTCCCTCTGTTTTTAATTAAAGTCACCTGCTCCTGACAGAACATAGTTTGTCTGGCTACAGAAGCCTGAGAGCCCAGCAGCACTAGTGAGGTCCTCTGCAGAGCATTCAGGTGGTCACTGCGCTCTCTGGGGAGAGCAGCCCCAGAGCCCACACTTGGGTCAGGGCTGCTCCCACATCAGGTTGCCACCTGCTGCATGGGCCTGAGGTTTGGGGACACAGCAAAGTCACAGCCTGTGCTCTTCTTGAGTTCATCCATGGTACAGCCTTCCCAGAGCTCCATTAGCATCAGCCCCTTGCTTTCATTCACGTCAAACACGGCCTTCTCAGTGATGATGCGGTGCACACAGTTCTTCCCGGTCAGCGGCAAGGTGCATGTCTCCAGGATTTTGGGGGTCTTTTCTTTGGTGCAGTGCTCCATAGTGACCACCACTCTGGTCTTGGGATTGGACACCAAATCCATAGCCCCACCCATCCCTTTCACCTTCTTTCCAGGTATCATCCAGTTGGCCAAGTCCCCATATTTAGAAACCTGCATTGCACCAAGCATGGTCAGTTGGAGGTGTCCCCCTCTGATCATGGCAAAGGACTCATCACTGGAGAAGAAGCAGCCCCCAGGAACCACAGTGACTGTCTGCTTGCCTGCATTGATGATGTCCGGGTCCACTTCTTCCTTTAATGGGAAGGGGCCCAAGCCTAGGATCCCGTTTTCGCTGTGCAGATAAACTGTCTTGTCGGGGCTGATGAAGTTGCTGGCCAGGACAGGAATCCCGATGCCCAGATTGGCATACATGCCATCCTCGAATTCCAGAGCTGCGCGTTTGACGATCCGGGTCTTAATGTCCTCTTTCAAGCTGGATTTGCTGTCTCCCTTGTTCCGAGTGGTTAGACGCTCGATTCTCTTCTCGAATTTTGGCCCCTTGATCACGCGATCTACATAAATGTTGGAAACGTGAACATCTTCTGGAGGAAATGTGCCCACATCCACAATCTCTTCCACCTCCACCACGGTGACATCAGCGGCCTTGCACATGGGCACGTTGAAGTTGCGGGCGCTTCCCCTGAAGACCACGTTGCCTGAGCGGTCAGCCTTCCAGCCCTTCACGAAGGCGAAGTCCCCCTTGATGGCGCGCTCCAGGAGGTAGTGCTGGCCCTTGAACTCCCGCACCTCCCGGGGCCTACTCAGGTTGAGCCGGTGGCCATCGGAGGAGTAGTGAATGGGCGTGCCCCCTTCCTGCACCATGGTCCCATACCCGGTGGGCGTGTAGAAGGCAGGCACACCGGCACCTCCAGCCCGGATGCGCTCGGCCAGAGTGCCCTGAGGGGTCATCTCCAGTTCCAGCTGGCCAGACAGGAACTGCTTCTCACACAGCGCGTTCTCCCCCAGGTACGAGCAGATTATGCGCTTGACCTGCTTGGTGGTGAGCAGGAGGCCCAGGCCGAAGTCGTCTACGCCCACGTTGCTGCTGACCACCTTGAGGTCCTTCACGCGCGTCTTGAGCAGTGCCCCGATCAGGTTCTCCGGGATCCCGCACAGCCCGAAGCCCCCGAGCATGACGGTCGCCCCGTCTTTGACGTCAATCACCGCCTCCACAGGGTCTGTGTAGAACTTGACGCGGGAGCAGGGACTGGTGGAGAAGCGGCGGGCGCAACCCTGGAACAGCTCGGGCCCCGCATGGCCAGCGGGGACGCCACGCCCCAGCGCAGACGCCAGGAGCCGCAGCGCCGCCATGGTCCGCCCGGCTCCACCGCCAAGGACCGGCCAGAGACCCGCCAGTTGCACCCCAGGAGCGCGCCCTGGCCACGGCGCGCGTCACAGAGCAGGGAGGGCGCGCATCCCGGACCACGTAACAGCTTCACCGAGTTCCTGGCCAGCCGACATCCCAAACCCGCCGAGCTTCCCGCGACAGTGGGTGCCTGATGAAGGGGCGCTGCAGGATCACCTGATCTGGCTGATGCCCAGGGTACAGCCACCGTTCACTGAGCAGTGGTTAAGCACTTGGTTAGTCCCCTTGGTAACTTGCAGTGAGTCACTCAATGTGGGAAGTTACCTCTCCCTCTTAGAAAGGGAGGGTCTTATTTTTTTCTTTGTTTTTTGTCGTACTGGGGTTTGAACTCAGGGCCCCTTGCTTGCTAGGCTGGTGCTCTACCACTTGAGCCACTCTGCCATCTCTGTTTTGTGTTGGAATTTTCAAGATAGGGTCTCGAGAACTATTTGCCTGAGGATCCTTCTGATCTCTGCCTCCAGAGTAGGTAGAATTACAGATGTGAGCCACTGGCCTTGGCTCAGAGGTTGTTTGTTGCTGTTGCTTTTGGCACTACTGGAGTCTGAACTCAGTACCTCACAGTTTGGTACCCCATCACTTAAGCCACACCCCCATCCTCTTTTGCTTTTGCTTATTTTTCAGGTAGGGTCTGGTGTTTTGGGTCTGACCCAGCTGGACCGAGATCTTCCTATCTAAAGCCTCCCATGTAGCAGCATTACAGGCCACTACCACACATGGCTTATTGATTGACATGTCTCAGGTTGTACGCCAACAGAGAACTTCCTGATCCAGAGAGTTCTTTAAGATCCTGATACTAACTCTCTCTCTCTCTCTCTCTCTCTCTCTCTCTCTCTGTACACTGCTGTTAAACTCTGAACACCTTGCCCAGGTCTAACCTGACTCAGAGTGACCCCTATCCACTCCTCTGTCACCTCTCCTTCCAAACTCTCCCTCCAAGGCTCTGCTCCTCCATTTGGCCATCTTGCTGGACCTTAGTCCAGTCTTGTGCCCACTTTGGGCCTCGTGCCCACTTTTGCCTCATGTAGAGGAAGCGCTACCAAAACACTGTGTGAATGAGTGAGTGAACCTCATTCTGTGGATGAAGAAACAGCTGTGGAAAGGGCAGCGGCCTGCCGAGGTCACTGACTTAGGACACCGCAGAGTCAGGATTCCAACCCAGACCCTAGCACTCAGAGCCTGAGGGTGCAAGATGTCCCCCCGTGCCCTGCAGTGAGGAACCTAGGCTGCTGCATAGGGAGAGGCACCCTTTTCTGGACAGGACCAGGGACTCTCTCTTAGGAGCTCAGATGCTCTGTAGACCCAGAGGAGGAAAGCAGTCTCCTGAGGGCTCTCTCTTTCCACTCACTGAGTCCTCATAGTGGGCACAGACAAGAAAGGCTGGGCACATGGCCCCAGTGAGGCCACTCTGTACAGTAGCCAGGCCTCTGTTGGAGCCACCAGGAGCCCAGAGGCAGCTCCCAGACAAGCACTGAGCCTCACCATCCTCGGTTTCCACACAGAGGCGGAGTCCCAGGTCCTTGTTACGGTTCAACAGCCAGCGGTCACTGGCTGCCGTGACGTCCAGCACCAGCCAGCCCTCGTCCCCAGCTCGGAGCGTCTGAAGATCCAAAAAGAACAAGTCAGACTCCCTGTGGACACGAAAGAACAATTAACCAAGGGTGTCGAGGCCAGGCACAGAGCCTCTGTGTGTCTGTTGCCCACTTTAGGGGCATTACTGGAGCATCTCGCTGCCCTGGCTCTGGGCTGGGCCCCTTTGGTGCCATACTTCACTAGTAACTCAAAAATGTGTTATTGTACCCATGTACAGATGGGGAAGCTGAGGCTCAATGGTTCAGTGACACATCCAAGGCCCCCAATCAGGACAGCAAGGTGAGGACTTTCTGGCCATGCATCTTTTCCCAACTCTGGGGCTGTCCTCCAAGGAACCTTCCCTTTCTGGGAAATGTCCTACCATACCCAGGGCTCCACAAAACCTTAACCATTAGACAATGAGGTGGGGTGGGTGCCTTGGGCAAGGGAAGGTACCTGTTGGAGTGCTCCTGGACCACCTCGAACATGCTGACATGCAGGGTCATGTTGAGCAGATGGATGCTGGGCTCCTTATAAATCCGGAACTCAGCAGCTGTGCCTGCCTCCCCGGCTGGAATCTGGGTCAGGTCAAAGTAGAACTCCTTCCAGTGGGGCTCCTGGTGGCCCAAGTCATGGTCACGCTCCACTGGAAGGCAAAGTGGGTCTGGGCTGTCATTAGTAGCTGGGATGGCTTGAGCTTCAGAGTAGGGCTCCAGGCAACCTGCTTCCTCCTCTGCAATCAGGCTTGTTCCAAGCTCTGCTCCAGGTGTAGACAGGCTCCAAGAGGTCATGTACTGAGGAACTCAGCAAGTGCTCAACAGGCCCCAAGTCCCAAGCCCTACTGTGATCCTCACCAGGTACCCTACTTGTTCCATGACCCACAAATGAGACAGCAGATAGACCCTCCTCTGGGAGCTCCCAGGGAAAAGGGGAGATGGATGTCAGACCCAAGGCAGAAAAAGGCCACAGTCCCAGGGCAAAACTTGGTGGACAGGGACATAACTGGTTGCATTTAAGAGGGACAGGGGACACCCCAGAGCCTGGTCTTATGCCTGGATGGGAGATAGGGAAACTGAGATCTTAGATTTGACAGCTGAGTGGGGCCATCAGGGAAAATGCTCCACAGAGGAAGGGCCAGTCTAACCAAGGTTAGGGCAGAAGGACCTGAGAGCAGGGAGGGAGAACCACTGCCAGAAACCACAGAGAAGAAATGACCCAAGTTTCTCTTTAGGGTGCAAGAAGGAAGAAGAGTCAACGTGTAAAGGAACAAGAAACACAGAGGCAGGGTCGCTTCCTAGAGAAGCTGTCAAGTGCTTGGGAAATCGCAGAGTCCCACAGGGTAATGGGATCTGAATAGCCTTAATGGAGGATGTGACATCTGAACTGGCTTTGAAGAATTGGAAGATGTCTTTGAGGGTAGAGGAGGTGGCAGGGGTGCTATAGGAAGAGCGGAGCTGGTATTCCCAGGTGAGAGGACCAAGAGCTGCCCAGAGATCTGTGTTGTGTGGTTCAGCAGTGCATCCAGCTGGGCCTGTCGGGGGAAGGGCTGGAATCTAGGACTAGGAGTGAGCTGTGCCTCTGGCCAATGGGCAGCAGCATGGTCTAAAGGATGGAGGACAGGGTAGGGTGAGAGCTGAGGTGGGAGCCATGAAGGGGCAGGCCTTGCTTTCTGGGTAAAGGCCAAAGTTGTAGAATAAAGTCCACATCTGCCCAGCTGCAGAAATGCCCAGAATAGTATATTTTGGGAAATCAGTCTCACTTTAGCCTCCTGTCACTTTCAAACATCAGAAATCTGGGTTTCGAGTGGGCAAACCCAACACTGAGATTTTAATTATATTTGTGTGTGTGTGTGTGTGTGTGTGTGTGTGTGTGTGTGTGTGTGTTTAAAAACTGTCTTTGGTTACTGAGCTTAGTGACCACATGTCAGGTTTTAAAAAGCACCAGGCAATATGGCTGGGGCAGATGTGGGGAGCATTTCTTACCTTAGTGGTGGGGACCTGCTCCAGGGGTGGAAATGCACACAGTTTTGCAATTGGCTTTTGGGATTTTTAGAAAAATAGTGTTTTTCACATAAAGTAGGTAAAAGTTCCTGGGGTGTAGCTCTGAAACAGACATTACTGGAACTGGCTAAAGGGAATGCCCTCTTTCTTTGTGAAGCCTGGATCCATAGCTGCTAGGTGACTGCTCCTTTGGATTAGGAAAGCTGGTGTTGTAGAAGAGCATTTGTTGGGGTCTGATTTTCCCTGACATGGGTCTTGGGCAAGTTGTCTCTGTTTTAGTTACAAGGACAGCAATGAGAGGTAGCTGGTCTGGCCAGGAGCTGGTGCTGCTGGTTCCAGCTCTCACCCTTCCAGCCCCCAGGTTCCCAATGTGGCCTCAGTCTCCCTGACTGTGAAGTGGGGATATGGGTGTCCTTTCCATACAGGGATGTGAAAGGGCAAATACTATGGGACAGGAGTTGTGGCCATTCCTTGGAAGGTAGAGAGACACTGACCTCTAATTTCCTAACTTAATGTATCAAAGTGATAGTGTCCAGACAGCTGCATCAGGAGACCATGTCTAAAAGTGGAGGTGGGGTTGAGGAGAAGCATTCAGTTTTACTTTTCTAAGTAAAAGTATAGAATGAGAATATATATCATGTAAATATGTCAGTTTAACTAAAGGAATCTGGATGGCTTTAAAGAGCCTGACCATGGTCATGGCATTTAACCTCCTGGGCTAAGTGTACCTATCTGCAAAAGGACCCTTTAATATAGGGTCAAAAGAACACTTTTGTAAAGAGCTAGGTTGTTCCTGTCACTCGTCGTTGGTTATGGTCCAGCACATGGGGAGCGTTTCCTTTCTGCTACATGCTCAGCCCTCACCTTCCTAAAACCAAGGTCTGGAATCTCCCAAAGATACTGGGACCCTATCAGGCAGCCCTTCATCAGTGTTCTGGCTTAGAGGACATAAAATTCAACTTGCATTTTTATTCACATGTGGGAATAGAGTACAAGAATCCTGGCTCCTGTCTTGGCCCCTTCCACCACAGTGGCCTACCACTGTGTGATGCTGAAAAATCAGCACAAAAGCTAAGTCAGAATTGGCCAAAAGCAAGATAGGCCCCCAAACGCACAGCACAAATGCTTGCTGTGCTTCCCATTCTGCTGCTCTGGTGCTAGGGTCCCCAGAGAAAATGTATGGGAAAGACCAAGGCCCATCCAATGTGAGTTCTTGGATTTTCCCAGTGAAATTCTGCTATTGGCTGCGGGATTGGGAAGTTCATCCATGCATTCCTAGCAGATTCAGATAGACTGGGATATATGTGTGCTTCTTGCCTGGCTACTGTCCTACATTTCAACCATTTGAGATATATCCTGCTAGGAATCCTCTCTCCAAAGTGGCCGTGGAAGGGACCTATGATGTTTGGAGCAAGATTTCTGAGTGGTAAATTATTTCCCCCATTTGCAATTAATAATTTTTTAGGGGGGGTTTCCATAAATTCATTTTTGGGCATTTGGAAGAAGATTCCTGACTATTTTCTTCTCATGATTCTGAAGGCTTTATAAGATCATTCACTTTTCCCATGTATTTTTTCTGATTACATCCAGGAATATTAATTCATTTATCCAACACACTTGGAAGCAGTGCTTATTGCACACAAGTCACTATGTAGGCATGGGGAACACTGCACTAAACAGCTCAGAGCAGCCCCTGTCCCATGGAGTTTATAGTCAGTGGGAAGTCACACCAAAACTAAGAAAGTTAGCCAATAGATCAGCATATATAACCTGGAATCCCAGCACTAAGGTGGCAAGGTAGGAGGATTGAGAGTTTGAGGCCAGCTTGGACTACATAATGAGATCCTGAATCACAAAGCAACATAAAAAAAATAGTGATAAGTGCTATGAGGGACATAAAGAGAGGGTGGGATTGGGAATATGCAGGGAATATGCAGTGGGCTGTATGATTTTAACTTTATTTTGAAATAATTTTGTATTTTTTAGATTTATAGAAAAGTTGCAAGAATAGTACAGAAACTTCTGATATATTTTCCTCTTATACCTTCTCCTAATAATATCTTATGTAACCAATCTATGATATAATTTTTAAAAAATTCAGGAAATTAATACTGATATATTCTCATGTCCTGCATGAGCATGTCCTAGAAACCTAACTGAGGGCAATGGGAGATGCAGAAGGGACAACAGACAGAAGACCAAACATGCACAAAGCTGGGACCAGGTAGGCTGGGTGCTCAGATGGAGATGCACAACAACCGCCTCCCCCGCGAGTTTATTATATAGAGTGGCAAAACAAGGTGGAGCAGCAGTTCTCAGGAGAGGGTGCATGACATTGTAATTTTTGGGAACAGGAGGAACCTGTGACCACTTCCCTCTGAAAGTAAACATCTTAGGAAAAACAGCCGTACTGCTTCTTGCCCACTTCTGTGTCTGGGCTGTGCCAACTCAAGCATGCAGTTTATTTGATACAGCTGTGCTTATGTACTCCACTCTCCACAATGTATTATTAACTAAACTACAGATTTATCTCAAATTCCACCAGTTTTTCCACTAATATCCTGTTTCTGTTTCAGGATTTTAAATCCAGGATCCCATCTTATATTTCTTGTCACTTCTGCTTGGGTTCTTCTCATCTATAACAATCTATAAATCTTTTCTTGCTTTTCATGTCCTTGATACTTTTGAAGAGTACTGCTCAGTTATTCTGTAGCAGGTTTCTCTCTTTTGAGTTTGTTTGATGCTTTCTCACAGTTAGAGTGAAGTCATGAATTTTGGAGAATACCATAGAAGGGATATACGCTTTTCATATCATCAAATTAGACACCAGGATGTCAATATGTCTTATTACTAGTGATATTAACTCTGATTCCTTGGTGTCTGCCATTTTCCTCTGAATATCATTATTTTTTCTTTTGTAAATAATAAGTATTTACGAAGGAGATCTTTTGGGATTATGTGCATATCCTGCGTCTCCTTAAACTTCTGCCCAGTAATTTTTATCACCCATTAGTGAATCTTGCCTGCACCAATTATTCTCCAGTTCTGCAAGAGTCATTTTTGTTTCTCTTTTCCCCTTCCTTACTTATTTAACTGGGATTCTTTTCAAAGGAAGACTTGTCCTTTCTCCCATAATTATTTAATTATTTATTTATATTATTATGTATTCGTATGCTTATTTTATTCTACAGCCTAATCCAATTCTCTCCCTCTCTCTGTCTTTCCTTAAGGTCTCACTATGTAGCTAAGGCTGACCTTGAACTTTTGATCCTCCTGTCTCAGCCTCCTGAGTGCTGGGATTACAGGTGTGCACCACCACTCCTTGCTCACTATTTATTATATTGCTCAAATTGTGCCAGCTTTGGCCACTGGGCACCTCTCTCAGGTGGTTCCTGTATTCTTTTAACACACACTCTTTCATCCTTTTTTGAGAACTTTATGTATAGCACCATAAAATGCTATAGGCTTATCTAGTGATATCCCATTCTTGGAATCAGCCATTTTCCCAAAGAACTTTGGTTCATTGGAGAGGTGTTCAGAAACCATGGCCTGGTCATAGTGTGCACTCATTACTACAGGAGCAAAATTGCTTTTAAACTCTCAGTGGACAGAGCTAGAAAATATACTAACCCATGCATAGACACAC